TGATGTTTTCAGCAGAGAGCAGCAACGACCAGCTGATAACTGAGTGTTCAGCAGGCCTACTGACCTATACTAAATAGGTCAGTAGGCCTACCCCAGTGTTCTTTCATTCGTGTGTTGTAAATAAAAACATATATAATTGCAATAGCAATATTTAATAAAAGCACCACACCCGTGAGGGTCATTTAGCGCTGACTTTTAAAGAGTGGATACAAGAATATACATTATTTTTCAGTGCATTATTATAATCATGGGGGAGCGCTAAACCCGTAGGATTATACAGCACATGTGCGGGGGGAGGCATTCAGGCTCAATTCAGGGAACTGGAGCACAGATCCAATTCCCTAGATCAAGAGCCTCTCACCAGCGTCAAGGAACCTCCCTTGAGGGGAACTTCTCCTTGCAAAGAACACAGTTAAAAACCTGGCAAAATTTTTCATTGAGAGAGTGGTAAGCCAGAGAAGACCTCGGTCATGTGACCTAACTTAGCGTAGACCAGATCGCCAGGGAAGACCTCGGTCATGTGACCTAACTTAGCGTAGACCAGATCGCCAGGGAAGACCTCGGTCATGTGACCTAACTTAGCGTAGACCAGATCGCCAGGGAAGACCTCGGTCATGTGACCTAACTTAGCGTAGACCAGATCGCCAGGGAAGACCTCGGTCATGTGACCTAACTTAGCGTAGACCAGATCGCCAGGGAAGACCTCGGTCATGTGACCTAACTTAGCGTAGACCAGATCGCCAGGGAAGACCTCGGTCATGTGACCTAACTTAGCGTAGACCAGATCGCCAGGGAAGACCTCGTCGTGTGACCTAACTTAGCGTAGACCAGATCGCCAGGGAAGACCTCGGTCGTGTGACCTAACTTAGCGTAGACCAGATCGCCAGGGAAGACCTCGGTCGTGTGACCTAACTTAGCGTAGACCAGATCGCCAGGGAAGACCTCGGTCGTGTGACCTAACTTAGCGTAGACCAGATCGCCAGGGAAGACCTCGGTCGTGTGACCTAACTTAGCGTAGACCAGATCGCCAGGGAAGACCTCGGTCGTGTGACCTAACTTAGCGTAGACCAGATCGCCAGGGAAGACCTCGGTCATGTGACCTAACTTAGCGTAGACCAGATAGCCAGGGAAGACCTCGGTCATGTGACCTAACTTAGCGTAGACCAGATCGCCAGGGAAGACCTCGGTCGTGTGACCTAATTTAGCGTAGACCAGATCGCCAGGGAAGACCTCGGTCGTGTGACCTAACTTAGCGTAGACCAGATCGCCAGGGAAGACCTCGGTCGTGTGACCTAACTTAGCGTAGACCAGATCGCCAGGGAAGACCTCGGTCGTGTGACCTAACTTAGCGTAGACCAGATCGCCAGGAAGACCTCGGTCGTGTGACCTAACTTAGCGTAGACCAGATCGCCAGGGAAGACCTCGGTCGTGTGACCTAACTTAGCGTAGACCAGATCGCCAGGGAAGACCTCGGTCATGTGACCTAACTTAGCGTAGACCAGATCGCCAGGGAAGACCTCGGTCATGTGACCTAACTTAGCGTAGACCAGATAGCCAGGGAAGACCTCGGTCATGTGACCTAACTTAGCGTAGACCAGATCGCCAGGGAAGACCTCGGTCATGTGACCTAACTTAGCGTAGACCAAATCGCCAGGGAAGACCTCGGTCATGTGACCTAACTTAGCGTAGACCAGATCGCCAGGGAAGACTTCGGTCGTGTGATCTAACTTAGCGTAGACCAGATCGCCAGGGAAGACCTCGGTCATGTGACCTAACTTAGCGTAGACCAGATCGCCAGGGAAGACCTCGGTCGTGTGACCTAACTTAGCGTAGACCAGATCGCCAGGGAAGACCTCGGTCGTGTGACCTAACTTAGCGTAGACCAGATCGCCAGGGAAGACCTCGGTCGTGTGACTTAACTTAGCGTAGACCAGATCGCCAGGGAAGACCTCGGTCGTGTGACCTAACTTAGCGTAGACCAGATCGCCAGGGAAGACCTCGGTCGTGTGACCTAACTTAGCGTAGACCAGATCGCCAGGGAAGACCTCGGTCATGTGACCTAACTTAGCGTAGACCAGATCGCCAGGGAAGACCTCGGTCATGTGACCTAACTTAGCGTAGACCAGATCGCCAGGGAAGACCTCGGTCATGTGACCTAACTTAGCGTAGACCAGATCGCCAGGGAAGACCTCGGTCGTGTGACCTAACTTAGCGTAGACCAGATCGCCAGGGAAGACCTCGGTCGTGTGACCTAACTTAGCGTAGACCAGATCGCCAGGGAAGACCTCGGTCGTGTGACCTAACTTAGCGTAGACCAGATCGCCAGGGAAGACCTCGGTCGTGTGATCTAACTTAGCGTAGACCAGATCGCCAGGGAAGACCTCGGTCGTGTGACCTAACTTAGCGTAGACCAGATCGCCAGGGAAGACCTCGGTCGTGTGATCTAACTTAGCGTAGACCAGATCGCCAGGGAAGACCTCGGTCGTGTGACCTAACTTAGCGTAGACCAGATCGCCAGGGAAGACCTCGGTCGTGTAACCTAACTTAGCATAGACCAGATCGCCAGGGAAGACCTCGGTCGTGTGACCTAACTTAGTGTAGACCAGATCGCCAGGGAAGACCTCGGTCGTGTGATCTAACTTAGCGTAGACCAGATCGCCAGGGAAGACCTCGGTCGTGTGACCTAACTTAGCGTAGACCAGATCGCCAGGGAAGACCTCGGTCGTGTGATCTAACTTAGCGTAGACCAGATCGCCAGGGAAGACCTCGGTCGTGTGACCTAACGTAGCGTAGACCAGATCGCCAGGGAAGACCTCGGTCGTGTAACCTAACTTAGCGTAGACCAGATAGCCAGGGATGACCTCGGTCGTGTGACCTAACTTAGCATAGACCAGATCGCCAGGGAAGACCTCGGTCGTGTGACCTAACTTAGCGTAGACCAGATCGCCAGGGAAGACCTCGGTCGTGTGACCTAACTTAGCGTAGACCAGATCGCCAGGGAAGACCTCGGTCGTGTGACCTAACTTAGCGTAGACCAGATCGCCAGGGAAGACCTCGGTCGTGTGACCTAACTTAGCGTAGACCAGATAGCCAGGGAAGACCTCGGTCGTGTGACCTAACTTAGCGTAGACCAGATCGACAGGGAAGACCTCGGTCGTGTGATCTAACTTAGCGTAGACCAGATAGCCAGGGAAGACCTCGATCGTGTGACCTAACTTAGCGTAGACCAGATAGCCAGGAGATATTATTAGTTACTATTGTTAATTATTATTGATGAGTTAGGCACAAGAGTGGTATTATATACCATTTGTTATTCTCACAATCAATGCTGGTAGAAACGATACTGGGAACTGCAGGAGGCAGGAATTATTAACCAAACACAGGACAGCTGTACATTTAATTTGGTCAGAGGGTGAGATCCATATCATGTGTATCATTTTGCCCAGAAGGGGAGAGGGCGGTGAATGGATGTCTAGGGCAATTTGGTGTAAATTACTGGCTAGACAGGTACTGCAAGGATTTTATAATCCCAGTCCGTTGGCAACTGGGATAAATTCTATTGCAGTTATGATATGCAAGTGAGGGATGGGGTGCATCTCTCTGGTGCAGGAGTGACAGTTCACTCAAGGAAGGCCTTTGCTAAGTTCTACAAAACTTTAAATTTATATTAGATAGAAGTATGAGTGTATAGGAAAGAAAAGGCTTGTAGCACACCAGAGGAGAGCCTTCAGAAAATATGGTTGTTTCTAAATCAGTTTATGATGGCAACAAAGAAATTAATGTTCAGAGAGAAGAGGAGGAGAGAGACAAGGAAGTGAATCTTTTAACATCTGAGTAAGAAACTTGTGCAACGTCTCGCCTACATATTACGCTGCTTCTGTCAAATACAGAGGAGATTAAATATAGAGACAGCAGTAGTGGTAAGGTAAAGATGTGATCAGTCCATCAGCCTTGAAGCGGTCAGTCCCTCAGCCTGGAGAAGAGTTCAGCTCCATAGTCTGGAACAATGTGAAGCTGAAGCATGAGAACGTTGTTTTATATAAGCTGCTCTTCTCCTCAGTTCTTACCTTCTTGTTGCTACTTGTCGGCCCCTTTCCAACACCTCTTCCAAGATATTTGTTTTTATTCCTGAGAAGTATTACTTATTCCATCTTAGTGCCTGACTTTTTAAGATCTCGTCATAGAACTCTATCAGAGTTGTGAGACAGGATTTACCATTTCTAAAATCGTGCTGGTTATGTATGAACTAGATCATTTCCGGGGTTTCACCGCTCTTCTCCATAACCCTAAAGTGTGTGTGTACGTACTCACCTATTTGTGGTTGCAGGGGTCAAGACACAGCTCCTGATCCCGCCTCTTCACTGATCGCTACTAGGTCCTCTCTCTCCCTGCTCCATGAGCTCCATTACATCATTTGCCAGATTATTCCACTTCCTGACAACTTTGACTGAAGAAATACTTCTTGCATCTCTTTGACTTATCTGAGTCTTCAACTCCCAATTATGACACCTTGTTTCTGTGTCCCATCTCTGGAAAATCCTGTCTGTCCACCTTGTCAATTCCTCGCAGTATTTTGTATGTTGTTATCATGTCTCCCTTAACCCTCCTGTCCCTCCAGTGTCGTCAGGCAGATTTCCTTTAACCTTTCTTCGTAGGCCATTCCCCTTAGCTCTTGTTGCAAACCTTTGCACTTTTTTTAATTTCTTGACGTGCTTGACCAAGTGTGGGTTCCAAACTGGTGCTGCATACCCCAGTATGGGCCTGACGTACACGGTGTACGGAGTGTGTGTGTGTGTGTGTTGTGTGTGTTGTGTGTGTGTGTGTGTGTGTGTGTGTGTGTGTGTGTGTGTGTGTGTGTGTGTATCAGCCACATACATAAATCTGTGTGGAGTTACAAGAGGATTAGCGATGCGAGGTGATTCCCACAACATGTATTACTTTCTATACAAACAAATGACGGATTATATTCAATGAATTTGGGATTTGGATTTGAAATGGTAGAGTATAAGCACACTTTTTTTCGTATTTATTTGCATAATATTAGCTTAAAATTTAGCAGTATGTACAAACCTGCATTATTTATATAAAAATACACCACCATATACAACTGGCATTTGATTATCCAAATGTTATCAACTAACGTACACTGGGACTGAGATTTTGCTTTACAAACATTAAAAAACAAATTGTTCATAATTTGGGATTTCTACTGACTGTACACAGAAGAGATAAATAAAGGCATCTTTTTTCTTCCCCTTAAAAGAAATATAATAAGGAGAATCGGTATATTATGTGACTCTCAAAAACTGATCTATCATTCTTGGTTCATCAGGGATGCAGTACAAGGCTTGCTATATTGTGATGTTCGTGTGTGGTCGCCCTTCACGGAGGGAAGAGGTTCCTTGATACTGGTGAAGGGCTCTTGAGCCCTGAAAGCTGTCCTTCCCTTCCTCAGATCAAACTTCGATTACTTCCCATTCCTGATCCAGTGAGCTCAGTATTCCTGTGTAGTCACCGAGGAGAATTAAGAACACTGAGCTCGGCTCTTCACCACGATCGTCCCAGTAAAACACAACTTGACATCAGCCTAACGCAAGCCCTGACTCGGAGAACTGGTCCTTTTAAAACAAGAAAACGTCATATCTATATTTTCCATCTAAAATGTGAAATGAAGAGTTTCAAGATAAAGCACACCCATAAAATATCAAAGAATACATCTTTCTGTTGTATAAATGAACGGCATGAATGTCGACTCTGAGTCGAGCTGAGGACGTGAATGATGGAGGTGTGACATTTCCCAAACACCTGCCGCTCACTTCATAATATAGTTATGTTCCCGAGAGCGTCGGCGTTTTGCGACTGTCTGGAATCAGTCTTAATCTCTGGCTACGTTAAAAAATAATCAATATGGCTAACATGTGGAAAAGTGTTTTTTTTTTATAACGTGAAGCGTACAGCAGCATCAACAGCTTCACGGACCGCTGGTGCACAGGCAGTGCACTGCCCGACGATGCTGAGGAGAGACGTGGTAGAACAAGCTTTTATTGTGACCACGTTTCGCTCTATAGAACTTTAACTGAAAGCTTGTTCATGATGTGATAAAGCTCTACACAACATGATACATCTTTACACACGGTTTGACCAAGCTCTTCACAGAATAAAATGTTGTAATGGAGGCTTATTCTTTGCAGCGCGTCTTTCTCCATACCCTGCACGAACAGCTGCACTTCTTGCACACAAAACAACCCACCATTCAGCTTTGTCCTGATGACTTCTGGAGAATCTGAATTCGTGGGGCTACAAGGATGGAGTGCCTTTATATGGGTGATGGGTTCCAAAGCCGAGGACTTGCAAACCCTCCTCGCCTCCCTCGATTCGAACTTGATTGCCTCCCATTCGCCAGGAGTTGCGTGGCCCCCTCAGATTTATTAGCTCTTGTGGATACAAGGAGCGAGAGCGGCGGTCTGTGACACTGGTGGCGTGCCTAAGCTTGGGACATGAACATAGATGACTAGCTTTGAAGGAGCATGGGAAAGTTAGGACGAACATTGTGTAGCATCGTTTAGTCACGGAGTATGCACCGCTCACAGTAGCAGGAGCAGCAGCAGTAGCAGCAAGGGAGGTGTGACAGAGGCTCTCACCATCGTGGGGAAAACAGCACTCAGCAATTTCTTCCCTGATCGTCACAGCTTTAGCTCTGTTCCTCGCTTCTGTGCGTGAAAAAGAATTGTATTTTTCACAGCTTTAGCTATACTCTTTCCTTGTTCTAGTCTTATTTTCTTCATGATCGCATGTACAAATATAACACTGGTATGTCATGGAACACTTTGTCATGTGGGTGAGTAATCTCTGGGATTTGGCCTACCCAAGTACCTTGGAATGTTTGGTACCCCCATCCTTCCCCAGGGTAGAACTGCAGCAGCTGGGGTCGTCGACACACCAGCTACATCTGTCACTTTTAAATCCACTTTCTCCCACGCTGGTGCTCTGCTACTTCTTCAGAGAAAATAGTGTGCTCAGTCTATTACGTGTTTATGTCATACTTTTTAAGCTGAACCTGCCGACTTGGCTTAACCAGCAAGCATAGTCCTGCCAAACAAGCCGTGCAGTTAATTATTATATTGTCAATAATAAATTATACTAAATTTATTCTGACCTTAGGTTAAATATTACTAAGTTACATTACAGCCATTTTAACAAAGGTTCGTTAGTTTTAGGGCATTTTTTTGTTTTCTGCACTCTTAATTCACATATATTAACACATAATGCAGTTCGGCTTGTTTGACGTGTCTTAAAAGGCAAGACATTTACATTCTACGTGATAGGCTGGCACCATTCAGACGGCAGGGAAGGTGAGCTGATATTGGCTCCTGATCGTCAGACATCACCTTGAATTGGCAGTCTGTCAGCCTGCACTGCCTGCAAAGCTGTCAGCCAGATAGCCAGCAGGAGAGCTGGAGTGAAGAACAGTACAAAATACGCACACAGCGTAAATGCAAC